AATGCATGTCATCCTTCCCCCCTGGATCCGTCACTGGTCAATCATACTTGTGCAAACGTCATCAAGAATTTTTTAATTGTTACACAATGGGCCCATCATGAGTAGCAATTTTAATTGTAGCACAACTTTTCTCCTCAAATCGCTTCATCCGCAACTACATTGATACCAACTACATGGATCTTGATCAACAGCTATTCCACTCATGGGATGCAAAATGTCCATAAAGCTCTATTTTCTGATGTCACACAGACTTTTTCCCTGAATATTTGGGTAGTCTAAGTTATGAACTCAAAGAGCGACTCCAGCAAGAAGTTGCTGTATTGGAGAAAAAGAAAAATGATTGCTTCCAAACTCAGCATGCTTTTGCAAGATATTTATAAAGTTAAATTACAAAATAGTATGTTTCAAGTCATTAATTTAGACTAGTTAAACTAAAAAGTTGATCGACAAAACTAAATTTTTTTTGTATAGTCTTTTATTGTAATGATTTTTTTTCGTTTGTTTATATAGTATTTACTGTCAGCTTTATTCTTACGCATATATGTTTTGTTGTGTTTAGTTGTTCATTTTTCAATACATTTTAAAATAAGGTTTTGATGTTTTAGTTCTTTTTAATTTATAATAAATTTCTCGGCCTGTACATAATGCACTCTAAACTTACCTTTAATTAGAGGTAAGTAAGATAAGTAAAGTAACTAATATATATTATTATTCTACTAATAATAATATATATTAGTTATTACAGGTAGTAATAACTTCATTTTTAAAAAATTTATGTACTAAGCTAAATACATTTTTTTATTTGGGTTATAAAATAAAATTTATAAATATATGTCAAAAACTGTTAAAACAAAGTTAAACTTGAAATTGCGAAAATTACTTAACCACGTTTTAGAAAACGTTGACACCTTTTTGTTTTTAAGCCAAAATACATAAATTTTGCCAAAAACTAAAGCCAAAAAAGGTATATTTTAAGATGCACTTAAGTTTGAATAAATAGAAAAATATTTGACTTTAACATATTTTTCTAAAAATCTTATAAACGAAGCTTTGTCAAAGCCGCTTTAGGTACAGCATATAATACACATTTCTGCAGTTTAACGCTTTTCTAAAAAAAAGTTATTAATTATTACAACCTATGCTGCATATTTAAGCAGTTTTACTGATTTGAAAATGTTTAATAAATATTTTAAAATTTTTTTTCTGTAACATTGATTTCAAAAATCAAAGTTTTACAATAATAAGTTAACTTATAAGACTATTTTCTCTTAAACTAATAGATTTCTTTAATAAAAAATTGGCATATGTAACCTTGAGATATGGTATGCAGCCCCCGGATCGCATCGGTTAAAAACGATCATTTTTAATATCATCTTTCCCAGCTAGCACACTTACATGGGCCAACGAATGTAAAACCATTGCGAACGTCGGCTCTTTTTTCCAATGCAAAACCAACGTTGATCCAATATCATTTGGTTAATGATAAAATTATTACCGACGGAACTAAAAACATCTGGCAAATTTACATTGCTCCAATGTATGTAAAAACATCGAAAAAATTTGATTGTTTTTACGATCTAAACCCAACGTTGATCCAATGTATATATCTCGATATTGGTTCAATGTTTATAAATCAAAGTTTTTCCAATGAATGTAAATACATCGCAAAAAGTTAATTGTTTTTACGATCAAAACCCAACGTTGATCCAATGTATATATTTCGACATTGATTCAAAGTATATAAATCAACGTTGATCTAATGTATGTAAATACATCGCAAAAAGTTGATTGTTTTTACAAACTAAACCCACATTGAACCAATGTATATGACTAAACACTGTTATTGCGAACTTATTAAACCACAACCAACACAAATATGATTTTTGTTCTGATGATCAAGCGTTGACATCTCTATAAATATATATATATTTATATATATATATATATATATATATATATATATATATATATATATATATATATATATATATATATATATATACTGTTTTCGTGAGCTATATAATTTTATATGTGTGTATTTATATATATATATATATATATATATATATATATATATATATATATATATATATATATATATATATATATATATATATATATATATATATATATATATATATATATATATATATATATATATATATATTTATATTTATATTTATATATACATATATGTTTTTATATTTATATATATTTATATAAAGAAAATAGAATTTAATTTAAATTTAATTCCGAATAATAATGAATACAATGTTTTGCCAATTAAATTTCAACGTTGAATCAACCTAAATACAATGTGGTGCTAACTTAAAATATAACGTTGGTCCAACGTATAAAATAAAACGTTGAATCTATGTAGAAAATATAACCATTTTCCGACTTTAAATAAACGTTTTATCAACATTCGTTTTTAATTGTTGGCGACGTTGCATTTGTAACCATAATAATATAAAAACAACGTTGGCAGCCAATGTTGGGCCAACGAAACGCGCGACATTGTTCTAATGTTTTAACAACGTTTGTGTGCTAGCTGAATTATCATTATAATTAATTCATCTTTAGCGCTTCTCATTTTTTACTCAAAAGTTTTATTAATAAAACCCAAAAAAGTAATAATTTTTAATAATTTTTAAAACTTTTGTCATTATAAGGCTAATTATTGTAATGTATTTATTTAACTCATTTCTGTGAATTGATAATTTTCTGAGAATTTTACATTTTGTGAACAGAACTCATTTATCAAAACAAACTAAATTTTTGTTTACATAAAATATTTATCATTTCTTTTTTGATTTAAAAGTTTATAGTAATGCTGTTAAAATAATTATTTTTTGAAATTTCTTTAACGTTTATCTTATGAAACTGAATTGACGTATTGTAAACTTCCACTATTGCAAGTTTGTTACATATGTACATGTTGCAATAAACTGCTATAATTGCAATAAAGTAAACTAACAAAAAGATATTTCTTTGGTTTTTTAAAGTCAGAAACAAAGGTTTGTTAGTAGTATTTAAGTCAAAAAATCTAAAAAATTTTTGTAAGTATTTTAGCAAACATTGTGGATAAAGCATCTGATCAGCAAACGCTTCAACAACGTCAAAGAGTCGTTGAACAAAAAAGAGAAAGTATGAATAAACTGGACAATAATCATACACACACAAACATGTCAAAATATCAGAAAATAACTCTTAGCGTTAAAAACGCCTCTTTTAATGCGAATTAATTCCTTTCTGAAAGAAACACAAAGTTAAACAATTTTATGTACATAAGAACTTTGTATACTTTCATAAACAAAAATTTATTTTTCAAAACTTTGAGTTGTGTCAAAAATAAAAAACGTATGTCGAAATTAAAGCAAATAAGTCAAATCGTCAAAAAACAAAGCTTCTTACGACCTAATCTTCTACGACATAAATGTCAAATTTCTTTCTAAAAATAATAAAGTAATATACTTAAGCTTCACGTAAATATAACATACTTTTCATAAACATATCAGTTTCATAATTTTACTTGCACGTTTGAATATTTTTAATAATAAGATTTTCATTAGATCGTAAATTCTATAAATATGAAAAAATACGACTATTAACATAGTGCAAAATAATAACATAGGGTAAAATAGTAACATAGGCCAAACTTTAGAACTTCAATATGCTTACTATATGCATAAGACAAAGTTTAAAAGATTTTATAATTAATACTTATTTTTGAAAGCAGCAACAGATTTAATTCTTTTTCTCCCACACCCTGGCCAGTGCACACCCTGGCCAGTCCACACCCTGGCCAGTCGAACAAGTATGACCCTGGCCAGTCCAACATAATATTTAATAAGCATATAATATGCGTGAATATCAAATAATATATAAATTGAATTGAAATTAAAATTTACATATGAAAAAATTTTATCATCACCAGAAACACACAATTACGTTGAATATTTATTTAAAATCATTTCATGCGTACAAAAATACTAATTAAAGACCTGGAAGTTCTTTTTTTATTATTATTCCGCACACTTATTTGTAGAATAAAATATTGTTGCCTAAGCTTAATATGTCAATATCATTACCCATTTTTAAAAGATAAACTAAAAGAACTTGTAATAATAAACTAGATAACATAATTATTTATTACTGCATTAAGTATTTATACATTTCGATATTTTAAACAGTATTTAGGTTTTGTGCCATTATTTATTATTATATGTATGTATGTATGTATGTATGTATGTATGTATGTATGTATGTATGTATGTATGTATGTATGTATGTATGTATGTATGTATGTATGTATGTATGTATGTATGTATGTATGCATGTTTGTAAGTGTGTGTGCATGTATGTATGTATGCGAGTATGTACGTGTGTGAGCATGTGTGACTGCATTATAAAAATAAATAGGCAACAACTTGAATATAGTTACTTGACCATTAATTTCAACCTCGTCTATGAAAATTCAGCGATCTACCAATCCTTTTTACGATTGTTTAAAAAATATGGAGTGGTTATTTTATATGATTTTACGAAGTTTAATATATTTTGTTAAAAAAAATTTCTTTTATTTAGACATCTTTAAATAAGGGTTTAAAATGTTTTAAAGATATAAATAAAATTTGTTTTGAAACATTAAATTTTGAACAAAAATGTTATACAGTTACTAAACTGTGTTAAGCCATAGATTTAATGGAGAAGTTTATTTTATTTACGCCGTTAAATCCTTAAATAAACTTTATTTTTGTTTTGCAAACAAACTTCGAATACTCCAACACTGCGTACATGTTTTTATGCAAAAAAAACACACACACACTCAAGTTTTTTTTTATAATCCTTAATTCTCCATATTCATAAAAACTGCATTAAATATTAAAAGTAATTAAAACTTACAAATTTGTTGAATAAAGGTGGGTTTTTTGAAAAAGAAAAGAAGATTGAACAGCAATATTTTTTTGTAAACTTGTTTTTTGTAGTACTCTGCGGAAGAGAAACTAAATATTGAGGAAAAGATCAATTTGTAGACAGACAGGAGAATGGATACAAGTTCTTAAATTGTTTTTAAATAAACTATAATATAAACGAAATTCTGTCAAATCAGCTGGCTGGCCACTGGTACAGTTTAAACATATGTTTGCTGGCAAAAACGTGTTGAAATAAAAACTAAAAACTGTAAGGTGTATTAAATATCGCTCTTTAATAAATAGTCTAAAATAGAATAATATAAAAAAGTAGTTATGGTCTTTTATATGTTGCTTTTGTTCCATGTATTATGGATGGTTGCATGCAACACGAATGTGAAAGGATATGTTGATTCGGTAAGATTTCATTAATATTATTTTTAGAATACTGCGTACAACCCAGTAAGCACAGAACGTTTTTAAAACGTTTAAAAAACTTATTAAAACGGTTTTTAACGTTTTCTAAACGTTTTAAAAACGATCTGTGCTTACTGGGAAACCTGTGTGTTTTTATTGTTCTTTTTAATCCTTAACCAATAAAGTTTATGCCTTAAAATTATTTCTGGTATTAAAATACTTTTATTGAATAACACTATAAAGTATTATTCTATTGTCCATTATCAGTATTGAAAATGATGGGATCATTTAAATGATAATTGCTTTTCTGAAAAGTTTAACAATATTTAACTTATTTTAAAATTATCCCGGTAAGAAATCAGCTAGCGATTGGCTACCGATATTCGTTACAATATTTACCCGTTGGGAAATGAGCTAGCGACTAGCGAGCGATTAGCTAGCTTTTAGCGATTTTGTAGCGATTTTTTTTTCTTTTTGTTTTTTTTCCTAATGTCTTTAACATCTTTAAAAATTCGATTTTTAGTGTTGACTCTATTATAATTATGAAAATAATTAAGCTTTAAAATTGGCGATTTTGTAGCAATGTGTCGCTAGCTACATATCGTAGCTTTTTAGCTAGCTACAAAATATCTACAAATCTATAGTAGGTTGATAGCTGCATATTAAACTGCGATTTTATTACGATATGACGCTAGCTACAATAGCCTGTGGGTCTTTAGCTTATTAAGCTAACTGTCTTCGTAGCCAAATTGCTGTCTTTGTCTTTACAAATATCGATAGCTTCTCGCTAACTTAAAAAAGCTGCCGATCCTCGTGGCCAAATCGCTGTCTTTATTGTTACGATTACAGCTAGCTATTCGCTAGCCGATTTCCCACCGGGTAGCCATGAGGATTGCTAGCTAAAGAAAGTTAGCAATTGGCGAGCAAAAATTCGTATTTATACCATATACTTTAAACTATTTCTATTATTATTTTAACTATTATTATAACTATTTATACTTTATAAACTATTCTAGTATTGTTATTATCTTATATACTTACTAAAGTCGCGGACGGCTATGTAAACCTTTACACATCACGCGATAATGTATATCAACGTGTATAAATGCCTATGCACACTAGTCGATATTGTTCGCTTTTTAGCGAACGACATTGACTAGTGCAATAGATTTATATAGTACACTATATTTGATATAGTTATGTTTTGGCAAGTTATAAAGCAGTGATATGTAGCTTCTAACATATTGTTTTAAAAATGTCCATATAAATATATTGCGCTTAAGCGATAGGTGACTGTTGTCACATCGTTAGTTGAAAATCTGAATTTACAATGTTATAAATTCATTTATTACCATAAATACAATAGACCCAATGCTAAAAATTGAGTTTTTCAAGACTTAAAAGACAAAATGAAACAATAACGTAAGAAAAAATAATCGCTCAAAAACACTGATAAAGCTAGCTAATCGCCAACTAGTTGCTCGCTCATTTCCCACCGGGTACATTATCCTCTGAATCTAAATAATAAATGTGTGTAAAATGTAATGTAAAATAAATTACATAAAACCAAAGTTCCTTCTTGTGATTTGAACGGGTATCTTGTACTTCAAAGATACCCGTTCAGGCCCAGTGGTTCTTTTTGAAACCATTAGATTTTTTCAGCTCGATCAGTGTTTATTTATAATTTGAGTTTCAATTGTTATTTGACTCATTAATTGATTTAGAATTATTTATAAAAAATTGTTTGCTAAATATTATGTTCTTAGTAGTATATAGTATATACTGTATATATATATATAAATATATATATTTATATATATATATATATATATATATATATATATATATATATATATATATATATATATATATATATATATATATATATATATATATATATATATATATATATATATATATATATATATATATACAAGCTTTGCCATTTCCTATGATGAAATGTACTTGTATCTAATATTTTTAAATATTTTATCGGAAATTACCTTTAATTGTAGTCAAAAAGTCACCACTTTGAGCAAGCCTCCACACGAAAGCGCAACAAGCGATAAAATAAAATTTTTTTAGACTATCTGTAGCTTTGCCTAATTTTATTTGCAGCAATCACTTATGTAAAGATTTATAAAATTTTAAAAATATTGTGGTGCAAAAAGAGTTTCTCTCCAGTTTTAGGCAACAACAATCTCTTTTTTCATAAAAAATGTCATTTTTTATGAAAAATAATTAACAATAGTTTCACTTATAATATATATATATATATATATATATATATATATATATATATATATATATATATATATATATATATATATATATATATATATATATATATATATATATATATATATATATATATATATATATATATATATATATATATATATATATATATATATATATATATATATATATATATATATATATATATATATATATATATATAATATATATATATATACAAGCTTTGCCATTTCCTATGATGAAATGAACTTGTATCTAATATTTTTAAATATTTTATCGGAAATTACCTTTAATTGTAAATGGTTGCCTGACAAAAATAAATAAATAAAAAATAAAATTTATATATATATGTGTGTGTGTGTGTGTGTGTGTGTGTGTGTGTGTGTGTGTGTGTGTGTGTGTGTGTGTATTATAGATTATAAATATATATTATGAACCACTATGCTAAGGTGCAGGCTTTTACTTGATCGTTAAAAACTAAACAAATTTAAATCTCGTTCCGGCCGGAATTTTTTTAACAAATCCGGCAAATCCGATTCCAGCCGGAATTTAAAATTTCCAATCGGTACACCCCTACTAACAATCCAATTTTTTTATGGTGTAAAAGACAAATTGAAGCTATAATTTGAAAAAAATATCGTTAAAAGTAATAGTTATTCGCCTTTTATAATTGAGCTGGTAAGAATCAGCATAATGTAAGCCAAAAAAAAAATTGAGTTAAGTTAATATTTATGATTACAAGGCATCATTCAGTTAAATTTGAACACCGACTAAATCATAACTTAATTAAGTGCTTGACTAAACGAAATATAAAACATATACTAAAGACTGATGCGATCTCTACTGCAAAGTTTTTCGTCAATACTTATTATTTACACAAATATTTTAAGTTTATCACTATACTAGCAAAATTATCTTTGCTTGGTGTTAAAGTTTTTATTTAGAAAACACTGGCATTAAAAAACGAAATATTAATATAGTCAGGATTGAATGCATGGCGTAAGAATAATAAATGTTATATGATTAAACAAAACGACGTAAAAATAATAAAAGTTTAAACGATTACGATTAAATATTTATACAGGTTTTTATTTCAAATTTTGTTTTAAGGTTTATACAACCATGGTTTTTCAAATTACAAATAATTGCTTAAATTCGTTATAAATTCTGTATTTAATGTAAACATACTTCAACTATAAATCAAAACTTGCGCGTTATATGCAAGTCACAATGTTGTTCTCTTGTATCAAAAAAACTAACAATGTTTTGACCACTTCCTTTGAAAACAAATCATTTTAAGAATATCAATTGTGGTGTATTAACCCCTAAAAAAATGATCAATAAAATTTTTTTTTAAATTCTGTGTTATTTTACTATATAAAACTCATTACCCAGCTCGCACACATACATTTGGCCAACGTTTTTAAACCATAGTGAAAGTCGGCTGTTTTTTCTGATGCAAATCTAACGTTAATTTCATGTGTTTAGCAATCATATCAATAAAAAAATACCGACGCAATAGAAAATAACTAGCACTGTTACATTAGTCTAGCGTATTAAAAAACATCACAAAAGTTAATTGTTTTTACTACCTAAATCCAATGTTAATCCAATGTGTATAACTTAGCGTTGGTTCAATGCATATGGATCAACATTGATCTAATCTATGTAACCCAACGTTTATTCAATATGTATGAATCAACGTTGATCCATTTTATACAACCCAAAGTTTGCGAAGGGAAAACTATATAACTTAAATAAAATATTCTGCAAATCTTGAAATTTTGTGACGAAATGCACAATTATTATTAAATTAGATATATGAGTATAATAATCGTACAATAACAGTTAAATAAGTGGGCATACAAGAGCAGCCGTTAGATTACCAAGAGTAGTTGTTAGATTTCTGGCTTTAGAACTGAAGCTAGAAAGAGACGTGAACTACGTGATTAAACGCTATTCCGCGGTGCTCTGTAATAAAATCGTTAGGACTTCTTTTTTAATTTATTTATTACAGTAATCAATACAACTTCCCCATATAAAGTTAAGAACTGATGAAGGGAAGCACACTAGACTTTCCTATGCTGACGATGGATATTGCTGCAGCCGAAGCAGCATCTTAAACGTGTTTTTTGAAAAAGTGCACTGTGAGAGCATCAACTACATCCTGAGCAAATTTGTTGCATCATTTAGTATCACGGTTTGTAAAAAAGTGCTGACGTTCTAAATAGCTGTTTCTTCTCAGATTATATCGTGATTTAATAAGAAAGGCTGTACTTGTGGTATGTAAAATTTAACTTCTTGTAACTAATGAGCGATTTTGTATTGCAGTATAAGGTCACTGCGAATTCTGCGTTTTTCTAGCGTGGTTAGACCTAACATATGATGTCTTTTTTCGTAATTAAAATGTTTAATTGACAATATAGTCTTCGTTGCACGTTTGAGAAGAACGATTTCTGATTTAAGATGTGGAGACCAGGCTTGTACACAAAACTCTAAGCATTTCAATTCCCGCCAAATCTGCTGCTTCTACTTGTGCTTTCACTTTGAGGTTGTCGGATATTAGTAACCCAAAGTTGTACTCAATGCATGCTGGAGATCATTTCGGTTACCGTTGATGTCAGTCATGGTATAGATATGTGTTGATCTATTTTTGCGACAACCATTACTTTGCACTTCTCGATGTTGAGGTGCATAAGCTAGTTATATGACCAACTTACAGTGCTGTCAATGTCCGTTTG